TCAATTGCTGCTTTAGTTTCATGATCTCTGCTCCCATATGTTGTTCTCTAATCACCTGCCTGCTGACTAATTCAAGCATCGTCCCAGCAGTCCAGAGTATACAGTCTGAAATTAATTCTGCAGATTCTCTTTGTAGATGAATATAAGAACTTTATTCATTTTTCTTAATTCCATTCATGTTCATTTATTACTTCTTATTCAACTCTCTGTCTTTCTGTCTGCTCCTCCACCATTCACCTTTTCCCTCCTTTCCAATTATATAAGTAATATAAAATGTCTGATTGTAAGTCACTAGCACATTTAAGTTTTTGAGATTTGTTGGTAATGTCCAATATAGTGCCATATACACATTGGTCTTTACTAGATAGATACTTTTATAAATAATGATAACTTCAATTTCAGTTTATTACTTTTTTAAAAAATGTAAGTATGCCAAGATATCTCTTACCCATAGTGTCTCTCTGTCAAAGATATATTTTTACAATATTTTTAAATGAAAAATTTGAAACATGCAAAGAAGTTGATAGAATTTTAACAGTGAACACCATTATATTCAATATCTAGATTGTATAATAATTTTCCTATGCTTGTTTTTTCACATTACTTTGCCCGGTTCTCTCTCTGTGGATCCATTAATCCATTTCTTTTGATGCATTTCAAAAGAAGTTACAGATATCAATACACTCCCTCCTTAAATCCTTCAGCATGCATATCATTAACTAGAATTCAATATCTTTTTTTGAGGTAAAATTGATAGATGATGAAATGCACAAATTGTAAGTGCACCTTTCAGTAACTTTAACAATGTCTCCACTTTTGTAATCTGAACCACTCTCAAAACCTTGAATATTCTCATTCCAGTAAGATTCCTGCCTGTCTCCCCTCAGTCTACACACCTACCCCCATGCAACAACTATTCTAATGTTTTCCTACCATAGGTTAGATTGGTGTGTTCTAGAAATTCAAACAAATGGAATACACGGTCTGTACTCTTTTTGTATAAAGCTGCTTTCACTCAGTATTGTTGGAAGACAATTTTCCCTAATTCTCTCAGATTGCTGCATGTCTTGTGAGTGAGGCAATGGCTCTCCTTTGTTCTGGGCTACCTTTTCAAGGATGTTTGTATAGCAAACAACCCTGGAACACAGAGATAGTGTTTCCTTGCAGAGTAAAGGGCAAGCATACTTACTGCCCATTATGAAAAATTCAGCTTCCCTAAGGTCAGTGTTCCCCTCTTGTAATGCAACACACTGTGTGTAGGTTTCATTTGACCTTATTCCTATCACCCTGTGGGAATAAGGGCTTGTGGAACCAGCACAAAAAATGCTGATTACCTGTTTCTACTACTGCTCTGAATAATAAACATCCTTTGTCTCTGAGTTTGTAGTACTGTGCTTTCTACCAAAGTCCAGAGGATACTGACTCCAATGCACATTTGTGGATTTTTTTCTCATACCACCAAACAATTCTCCGATACCAGCTAAGTATTCTACAATTCCACTCATTTCTGACACTATCTGCCTGGAATTATTATCAGATCCTACAGGTTAAGTACAGATCCCACAGGCTTAGTACAAGACTGCTCCCCATCACCCTGCTTCAGACATTACTTGTAAGTCCCACCTTGTCACATGTGCTTCTGACCTAATGGCTATAGATTCGAGGTTCCAACAACCTTCTCCATGGGTTTGAGTAATTTGCTAGAGCTACATACAGAACACAGAGAAACATTTTGTTTACTAGGTCACTGCTTTATTATAAAAGGATATAACCTAGGAATAGCCAGGTGGAAGAGATGCATAAGGCAAGATATGTGGGAAGGGCACAGAGCTCCCATGCCCTTCTAGGCACGTGATTCTGCAGTATCTCCACATGTTTACCAACTTAGAAGCTCTCCAAACCTCACCTTTTTGGGTTTTATGGAAGTTTCATTACAAAACCTACATTGACTTACAAAACTTATATTAAAGATTGGCAATTAAACTCAATCTCTAGGGGTGCATCAGTGGCTCAGTCGGTTAAGTGTCTGACTCTGGCTCAGGTTGTGATCTCGCGGTTCATGAGTTTGAGCCCCGCGTCAGCCTCTGTGCTGACAGTTCAGGGCCTGGAGCCTACTTTGGATTCTGTCTCCCTCCTCTTGGAGCTGGGGTTGGCGTGGGGGTTGAGACCCATTATCAACATCCTCTGGTAGAGTGGTATATTTGTTGCAATCGATGAACCGATAATCCATCATAATTACCCCAAAGTCTATATGTTTATATTATGGTTCACTCTTGGTGTTCTGTGGGTTTGGTCAAATGTGTAATGACCTCTATCCATTGTTATGGTGTCATGTGGACTATTTTCACTGCCCTAAAATTCCTATGTGTTCTACCTATTTCTCTCTCTTCACCCTCTGCTCCACCCAATCCCTGGAAACCACTGATCTCTTTACTATCTCCATAGTTTTAACTTTTATACGAAGTCATATAATTGGAATCATACAATATATAGTATAACTAGAGGTAAGATTATGAATGGTCTCAGTCTACAGTCTGGGAGAGGTATTGTAGAATTTTGAGACTAATAGGCTAAGATTTATTCTGAGAGAATATGTAGATATGGAAGATGTTATGGAGTAAGGAGGAGACTTGATGCTGAAATGCCAATGAAGAAACAATTACAATTACCCAGGTAGGAGATAGTCAATTATTTGTCTATTATTATGAGTATAAATTGCCTTATATACTAATTTTAGGAAGGAGTAATGTAAGATAGAGTTAAAAAAGTTATTCTTTAAGAATACCATGAAGAATAGCCAGAACTTAGTGGTCTACTAGAGTAGAATTTTACTGTAAATTTGGAGAAACAATTCACTTATAAATGATACCTATCAAAAATTGTAATAATAGAAGGTGAAATACACCCACATACTAAGAACTGTGAGGAAATAAGCGATAGAATTTATATTACATCAACAAAACATGAGCATACGATAGCTCTAGTTAAAACTGCTGTCCCTTTATTCTTTTAATTGCTATAGTTGACCTGTGTATGCTCCACTTCATCTGATTTGATAATCTGGACTTTCTTGACTGGGGAGTGAAAAAGGAAATGAAATCAAAAGAACTATTTATAATTAGTGAGGAGAAAGCTTGGGGGGGGGGAAGGGAAGATTTGAAAATACTAAATAAAGCTTTAAAAACAGTAAATTTTTTTTTGTTATTTTAAGGAGTGTAGGCAGTTGTGAGTTTTCCCCCTTAACTTCTGCATGACATCAGACAGCAATAAAGGTGATGCCAAATTGCAGACTTCCACATGAAGGAATTTGAAGCATCAGATGACTGGTTAAAAACCGTGTTTTCATGTGTCCTATCACTTTCACCATGAATAGTCTCCCTTTGCCTTGAATTTTGAAGTGTTGTTTTTATTTGTTCCATGTAATTGTTTGGTTGTATGTAATTATTTAGCTGCCTTTAGAGTCATGGACTCAGGAGGGGTAAAGACTTTCTGGTCCGGTATTTCCCTAAGTGTGCTTGTCAACTGTAGTCATAAACGGCTCTGCGATCAATTCAGTCAGGAAATTGCTGGGTTAAATAAACACAGTCAAACAAAATTTTTATTTAGGGAGTGGAGAGGAGGGGTATGGAATCTCAGAGACTTTAATATATGCTAATGTGATTCATCTAAGGAGAAACAAGGTAGAGCATTTTACAAACTTATTTGACCACAAAATCCTGTTTTCATGGAGTCTTTCTTGGAACCATTCATTGTTCCTTAGAATACACGTGGGGAAACTCAAATCGCTTAAATTTACGGAGAAACAGAAAAGAGATGAAATGGCTCTATCAAAGCTGTGTAGCTGTTTACTTAAAGAAATGGACTTGACCCAGGGGCTCCCATCATACTTAGTTTTGCTTCCTTTTGCCCCCAAATTCATAAAAGTCTTTGAAAACTACATGATATTCCAAATTAGACCCATAAAATACACACAAAAGCATTTGAAAACATAAAACTAATGATTTAATTATTTTTAGTTATTTTGAATTGGCACATTGACTTTGATGAAAAGAGATCGAAAAAGCCAATTAATATTTGTAACCAAGGTTACACTTTTGCAATCGGGAAACTTTTTCCCCTCCACAAAAATCCACTATATTTCAAACTGTAAAAATCTATTTCCTTTCAAATTATAAAAAACAAAAACGTACAATAATGTGTATACCAACAAGCTTTCCCACTTTCCGAAAAAAAGAACTGAAGAAAAGAACCTCCTCTCTATATAAATAAACATGCATGTTTTAAAAACTTCTTTACGTAGGTGGTATTATGGTATTCTTTTGTAACTGGAAGCCTGTTCCTCCCACTGCCCTTCACCCATTTCCCCCCAGCCATCAGTTCTATGTATTTATGAATCTGTTTCTGCTTTATTTGTTTGGTTTTTTAGACTGCACATATAAGTGAAATTATACAGTTTTGTCTTTTCTGTCTGACTTGCTTCACTTAGGATAATACCCCCTAGGTCCATCCATGTTGCAGATGGCGAGACATTTAGATCTTTTCATGGCTCAATAATATTATATAGCTACACTCTAATCTGTAAAATTGGTTTCCCATTGGTGGACATTAGGGTAGTTGTAATTTTTTTTTTAACAGACAGTGCTGCAGTGAATTTTGATATAGGTCTTCTTCTTTTGTTTTTGAACCTTTGTGTGTGAGTATGTCTGTAGGAGAGTCCTTGAAGTGGAATTGCTGGGTCAAAGAATATGCACATTAAAATTTTTGTAAGTATCACCAAATTGCCTTAAAAAATGGTCTTAGTTTATCTCCTATTGCCAGCATTGCAACAGGAAACCTTAAAATGGTGTAACTTTTATTGAACTTAAAAAAAGATTTCATACTTTGTAATGGCTAATAGTGAATATCTTGCTCTGTGAATTTGAAAATCATAGAGAAAATTTATAAAACATTGATAATCATGATCTCTCTTTCTCTCTGTCTCCCTCCCCTGCTCTTTACAGAGCAAATTATTCATGGAAGGATTTAGAAGCCTAAAAGAAGGAGAACCAGTGGAATTCACATTTAAAAAATCTTCCAAAGGCCTTGAATCAATACGGGTAACTGGACCTGGTGGGAGCCCTTGTTTAGGAAGCGAAAGAAGACCCAAAGGGAAGACACTACAAAAAAGAAAACCAAAGGGAGATAGGTAATCATTTTACTTTGTTAGTTTATGAGTTTATTGTATTTGGAAAAAAATTCTGAAAATTTATTTGTATTTTCTATGTTATTGGGCTTTATATATTCTAACCAAAGTAAATAAAATGCTATTATTGTGTAGTTGAATAAACTCTATCAGGAATATAGGCTACCTTGCAGTTTGAACTCTCTGTGTGCACTCTTTCCACCAGACTGTTCTGAGATCACAAAGGAGGAGTCAAGGTTCCCAACAGATAGTGTTGTCCCTCGGTACATCGTAACACCTCACCTGTTTTCTCAAAGGAAAATACATTTATTGTTTCATCTGTTTTTAAGAGATAACTCATATATAAAAAATATAAAAAAATTGTAAAGAAATCAGGAAAAAAGTCATTTGAAATCCTAACCAGAGGTGGGAATCATAATATATATGCAGTATTTTTGAAACTTGCATTTCTTAAATCACTTAACAGTATATCATGTAGCATTTCCTATCAGTCATAAATACCTGCATAAATTCCCACTGTGTGAATGTACCAGAATTTATTTATTTATTATTATTTATGTATTTATTTTTAATGTTGGTTTATTTTTGAGAGAGAGAGAGAGTGAGTGGGGGAGGGGCAAAGAGAAAGGGGGACACAGAATTCGAAGCAGGCTCCAGGCTCCTTGCTGTTAGCACAGAGCCTGACGCGGGGCTCGAACCCACAAACTGTGAGATCATGACCTTAGCCGAAGTCAGATGCTTAACCAAGTGAGCCACCCAGGCGCCCCATAATTTATTTATTTTTTGAATGTACCAGAATTTATAAGCATCTGACTTCAGCTTAGGTCATGATCTCACAGCAGGTGAGTTCGAGCCCCACATTGGACTCTGTGCTGACAGATCAGAGCCTGGAGCCTGTTTCCAATTCCGTGTCTCCTCTGTCTGCCCCTCTCCTGCTTGCACTCTGTCTCTGTCTCTCAAAAATAAATATACATTAAAAAAATTAAAAGAAATGAATGTACCAGAGTTTAAACAAGGCTAATACACTAATTTGTTAAATTTAAGCTGTTTTGAATGCTTTGACCTCATCAGTAGCATTACAGTGGGAATCCTTATATGTACATTTTTGAAAAATTGTCTGATTATATCCTTAGGATAAATACCTAATAGTGAAAAAGTTGGATCAAAAACAGTGCATTTGAAAATTTTTGATATCTAGGGGTGCCTGGGTGGCTTAGTTGGTTGAGTGTCTCTTGATTTCGGCTCACGTCATGACCTCATGGTTTGTGAGAATTTGTCCCAAGTTGGCTCTGTGCTGACAGCAGGGAGCCTGTTTGGGATTCTCTCTTTCCCTCTCTTGCTTGTACTCTCTCTCTTTCCCTCCCCCACTCATGTGTGCTCTCTCTCTCAAAATAAATAAATAAACATTAAAGATTTTTTTTTTTATTATCTATTTCCAGGTTGCTCTCCAGAAATGATTAGGGCCAACATACA